TGTTCCTGGAGATCTCCTGCAGAGTTTAGCCCCAACCCTGATCAAACACAACCAAACCAACTAAATAGGATCTGAAGGAGCACTTGGTAATTAAAGACAGATGTATTTGATCAAGGTTGCAAGTGAGCTCTGCAGGAAGGTAGATCTCCAGGAACAGGGTTGAGCACCCCTGGCTTATATGCTTCAGCGCTCAAATTGACAAATAATCTGTTAAGTAAAATATTAATATAAATTACAGTGAAATATTTACAGTTTCAAAGTAGTCTATATTAAGCTAAATAATTTTCTGTTAATGACAATCCATATTGCTCCCATCAGTTTCACTTTTATTAATTTATTCAGCTGCTTTGACAACAATGAGCCAGGCTTTACAAACTATTCGCAGCACTAAAAGTATTCCCCTCGGAAGAATAAACTCAGTCAGAAAAATGAGAGAACAGAAACTTATTGTTATAATAGTTTCATGAAGCGGCGCACACCGTGTCTGCGCAGCCGTTGCGTGAATGAAGTTTATGAAAACTTACTAGTGCCTTATAATAGACTACCTTTGTGCTTTTGTTGGCTTAGAAATGACACATTATAGCGCAAGATCTGATTTGGATCGGTACCATCTTGCTGATACTTGATCCAGCAAAAATATGCAGTATTGAACTGATGTCCTATCCAAGTATCGGGATCGGTGCACCACTATGAGGGGGGCAATCGAACTTGAGTTCGGACCAGGTATTCGGACCAAGTGTAAAAGCACCCTTAATCTATTCAGATGTTAGGAAGAGAAGGAGACTAAAGACTTCAAATATTTTTGCTGGCAGGTTTTGCTCTATGTGTTTTAGACACTTTGTACTCATTTACTTGTGGTTTGCTTGGTTGTTCTATTTACTTTGAGTTATGTACCAACTAAGCTATGCCAAGAGGGAAGTTAAAGGGGAGAATGCTATACAATTATTTATTTCTATTTAACCACATTAGCAATGTTCCTTATTACGTCATGCTGTAACATTTGAATTATGTAGTGAGATTTTTTTGTACTCATGGGTCTTCATGATGAAGGTGTTTCCTCAGTTTGATAATTCCTCTGCCACTGTGGAAACAGTTAATCTTAAGGATTTCATGTGGTTATCTATTTTGTTTGCTCCCTTCTATACCTTGAATCACTGAAGTGCATAACATTAGCAAATGTTATTGCTTCATGACCTCCATGTTTGATTCTAACCATCTTGGTTAAATCTTTTTAAAGAAACAATTGCAACTGGCTGGTTAGTTTCTCTAACTACACACAATACTAGGATAGTTCTTCTAATCTGATTTCACCAAGTAGGACATCTTCCTAAATTAACGTCTATGTTGATCCTGGAACAACATTCCAATCAGCCAGTCAGTAATTACGAGGTAGTGTACCGTTTATGTTAAGTTTAGGCTTACGGTTAGGTTTATGCGCTTCTGCATGTTTGTTACCCCAGTATTATTGCCCTCTGATTTTAGGGAATAATTTACAGTTATAGTTGGGTTTAGGGGTATGGAATAGGTATGGATTACATTTTCGAACAAAAATTATGTTCCAGGATCAACATGGATTTTAATCCAAGTCATGACGTGCATGATCGTTCATCAGCCAGTTACAGTGGTGTTTTAGAAACATGGCCCTGGTCAAGAGGTGAATGTCCTGTTTGAACAGAATGGCCAGGATCTCTGAGCCCCCAGAGTGACACTGACAGACTGCTTCTCTGTCAGCAGATGGACAACATTTATAATTCAGTCTGGAGATTGTTGCATGCTGCTTCATTTCTTGTGCGATCACCACAGCGTTATAAGAGTCAGTGTAAGGATCTACCACTTTAGCAGTGACCTCTGAATCTGTATCATACTGCACATGCTCACCTATCACATACAAACCACATGAGAATTATAGATAGAGTAGCTGTAGATAAATGTGTTAAGCTTCAGAAATGAGACGTTCATTTTAAAATCATGCTTAAGGAATAGCATTTACATCAAGTCTCACTGATATTATGGATATGACAGTCACTGGACCTTTAATGCACAGAGCCATTAAAAAACAGCTCTCTTTCAGAGAATCATGTTCATTTCATTTCCATTTGGATGTGACCAAAAGCAAAAGTTGTTTACTTCCCAATTAGCCCATCGCTTTCCCCAATTTTGCACATATTTATTTCATCTGGTTGCTAACATGATTGATGGACAGGGTGTTCAGATAAACACAGTGAAGCAGAAGAGTTGTCTCTTCTTTTACTATTTTTCAGTCATAATGAATTCTGTATTCTTATCCTGAATGAGTTCTAAGCCTAAAGTTGATATCTGCTTCAATTGCAGAAATTTGATTTTGAAAAAAATAATTATTATAATTTCCATACTGTTTATTTTCCCCCATAAAACAGTTTTTTTTTCATTTTGTTTGTAGTATTTTGTGAGTTATACAGTGGTAGAAAGAGATTATTAAAATCCCCTCAAAAGAAATGAATTGACTTTAACCCGTGAATGATTACACCAGTGTGATCATTCTCAGCTGGTCTCTGAAGCGTACAATCACACCGGTGTGATTAGAACGTTCAGAGTGCACATCATCAACAACTAAAATTCAAATCTGACGGCGGGTGCTCAGGCATGGAAAGAGGTGCACATTGCTTGTAATTGATCACAATTTATCTGTTTTCAAACAAACAATTTCTTTTTAAGTCTTAGGCATTTAAATACACATAACTGCAAGCAAAACATACAATTTAAGGTTTGTAAAATACATGCAGATGTCTATGAAGATGGCAATAATAATTAGTTTGCTTTATTCACGTAAAATAAACACAGTTGAATATATTCTCTATTCCTCTCCCGGATAAACGGTTACTTACTTTAATTTATTTCAGAAGAAAATTATGAATAAACATATCGTGAAGCCAGCAGCTCGTTTCTCTCCTGCGGTTGTTGCTGGAAGGGGATATAGCTGCGATTGGAACTTAACAAGAAGTATTTATATTTTATTAAATTACGCATTACTTGTATTTTATTAGCGTCTGCCTCTAACTTAACCCTAAACCTAACTCTTATGCTAATGTAAAAATATTATTTATTGTTGTACAGTGTCACACAAAATGTGCTATAATGACATGAGTATCCTTAGCTGAATCCCATCTAGATTTGACCCTCTTCTGGAGCGCAGACTTAACATTGTGGCACCAAATACCCATATAACAAATGACACGATCATTATTAAGCTATTTTAAAGACAAAATATATGTTCTATCATGTATTTGAGGATTTCATTTCACACTATAATTAGAGCATTTTTCAATATTTACAGCAAAGGGTGAAAATAAACACAATACCATATAAACATAGATCATTGGAGCTGGTGGGTCACATGATTAATGACGCTTTATCATTAGAACGCAAGGAATTCTCACAATAAAAAACTCACGCAGGAGGGTTTTCCACGATGGATGTCCAGTGTTTCCAGCCTCCCGTGCCTAGACTGTTGCTTGGCCAGAGGAGAAACGGTCTTGCCCTATTGAACCTGGTTTCTCTCAAGGTTTTTTTTTTTTTGTCAATTGGTGGTTTGTTCCTTGCCACTGTCACCACTGGCTTGCTTGGTTTGGGACTTGTGGAGCTGTGCATCGATGGATTTGCTCTTCAATGTTTGGACTTTCAGCAGTGAGATTTAAAACACACTGAACTGAACTAAACGTCAACTCTGAAAACTGACACCTTTTCAATTGATTAGAACTTGTATTTTAAGCTTTAACACAATCTACATTGTAAAAACGCTATAGAAATAAACATTAATCTAATTGAATATCAATCAATCAATTAATCAATCGGTCAATCAATAAAAAATTTATACAAATTAAACAAGGTTCAATGAAGTTGGAAGCATTTTTTTGTGCTTGGAGTGTTTGGATATTTATTTCAATAATACTTCACTTGCATTTTTTAACAAAACATTTTAGAAAACTTGTCATTAAAAAGTTTGCAATTAAAATAAATAATTGCTTATTCACCTTTAGTGTCTTGTTGGTCCCACAATCAATTTCTCAGTGTACTGGCACTCCAACGATCTTTATTTTTAACAGTTTCATCTATTTTTTAATAGAAACGTGTGAGTGCCAGGAACATCAGGACAGTAAGCTGTCTATTAGGTATGTAGACTCTTTGCGTTCAAGTCTTTGCTAAGCCACCTGCGCGCACACACACACAAAGATATAGGCTAATGTAATATTAACAGCCGCTCCTTCCGCCCTATTCAGAAAGGTCATTTTTCTCAGTTCAGGAATTTCCTCCACTTAATCCTCGTATTTTATTTATTTCCAGTGAGCCTGCATAAAAAAAAAAAATTACCTTAATGATTTTGATTCCAGAATGCAAAGTAAAAAATGGATAACATCATTTATTATTATTGTTGTTTTATTATTATTGTTGTTTTATTATTATTATTATTATTGTTATTATTATTATTATTATTATTATTATTATTATTATTATTAGAAGTAGTAGTAGTAGTAGTAGTAGTAGTAGTATAGTTATTATTATTGTTATTACTATCATTGTTGTCATTACATTACATTACTATTAATAGTATTATTATTATTAATAATAATAATAATTGTTATTTTTATTGTTGTTGTTGCTGTTTTAGTTGTTATTATTGTTATTATTATTATTATTATGATTATTATTATTATAATTATTATCATTGTTGTTGTTGTTGTTGTTGTTGTTATTATTATTAGTAATGGTAGTAGTAGTAGTAGTAGTATTTACTGTTTTATTGTTGTTTATTTAATAAAATAAATATTATAAAATGTTTTATGTTATAAATTAATATTTTCAATGATCTTTCATCTCAATATTTCCACATTTTCACTTTTTTTTTTTCTAAATGCTGCATCCCTTTTTCAATCTCATCACTAACACATACATTCCCTACACAACTACAAGTCCCATAATCCCACTTTTTCCCATCCATGTCACATGATCGTCAGCGAGGAGCAGATGGTACAGAGTCATGTGATGTTGTTAGCCGGGGTTGAATCTGAGTGCTTCTCCTGCTTCTGATGTGAATGCTAAGGCTAAGTGCTCTCTCTTAAGAAGAAAAAAAGAACAGGGTAATGTATGAAAAATGAGCTTTGTTTATGTGCGTCTGTGGTTAAATGGATTGCTCTTTTTTTGGCTAAGAGCGTGTCAGGTGGAGGTCAGTGTTAAAGGATGGAGAGGAGAGGAGGTGATGGTGTGAAGGGGGAGGAAAGGCCTTAAAGGATGCTCTGTCTCCTCCGTGGCATTTAGAAAGCACAGTGTTGGATAATTGCATGTGACGTAATACATATAAACATAATGTCCCATCTGTTATGTGGGCTAGTGAGTGCATTTAAGATTTTCGTGGTTATCCTAAGCTGTGTTATTTGGTTTGTCGTGCCTGTGTGAGGAGCTATTTTTTATTTTTTTTTTGAAGATCTGTTCTGTGTACTGTTTTCTTCTGCTGGCCAGTCAAATTTGATTGAAATGTTGGTTATTGTTTTGCTGACCAGTCTGTTAAGTAGATTTGGAATATTAAGCCATTGTTTTGCTGTTGGGTGTCTTTGTTTTGCTGTGTTGGTGGTTGAATTAAATTGAGTTATTTTATAATGACTATTATGGACATTTATGTGATTCTAAAAGACATGTATAATTAAACGGTACACAATTATCATGGCTATGTGCTTTTCAGAAAGGAGTTAAGAGTATTTAAATTCCTAACCATTTCCTGATTTAGAAATCAATTAAAATGCTGAGAAAATATTCCATTTTGAATATATGGATGTTTGAAGTTCTTGGAGAAAATTAACCTAATTTAAGTTGAAAAATACTTTGCAGAAAAGAATAATATTTTGTTTGTAAAGATAGACTTTTAAATGTTGGTAAAGATTAATTTAAAAAGCTATGTTGTTGTTGTTTGCCTAGTAAGCTAAAGTTGTTTTCCAGCAAAGATTATAGACAATTATGAGTGTGGAAATGAGTGTTTTTAAGGACAAAAAGATTTGCGCCATCTAAGCCTTATTGTTAAACGTAGTGTTATAAAATGATAATGATAATAATTGTGCTATACGTTTTCTCAATTTATTGATAACATATAAGTACTTTTTTTCTGAAATCCAATAAGATACACAGTCTATGCACCATGCAAACAATATTCGCTATACTGATCAAAAGTTTGGGGTCAGTAAGATTTTTAAATGTTTTAAAATAAGCTTCTCTCGCTTACCAAGGCTGCATTCATTTTATAGAAAATACAGTACAAATTGTAAATGTGTTAAATGTTGTTGCACTATAAAATAACTGTTCAAAAGTACTTTATCAATTAATTTAATAATTTATTCCAGTGACTTTAATGATGAATTTTCAGCTTCATTACTCTAGTCTTCAGAGTCATGTGATCCTTTAGAAATCCCTCTAATAATAGTAATAATAATAATAATAATAATAATAATAATAATAATAATAATAAAAATAATAATAACAACAACAACAACAACAACAACAACAATAATAATAATAATAATATTAATAATAATAATAATAATAATAATAAAAGCAATAATGACTGGGGTAATAATTTCATTTGATATACATACATACATACATACATACATACATACATACATACATACATACATACATACATACATACATACATGCATACATACATACATACATACATACATACATACATACAACGAGAAAGCAGTTATTTTAAATTGTAATAAATATTTAACTATTTAACATTTTAAAAAATTTAATAAATGCCGCCTGGCTGAACAATGTTTGTCTTAAAAAAATAATAATAAAAAAAATGACCGTAATAAAATATGTCTTAGCATATTATTGTACAAGTATGAAATGAAATTAATGAAATATATTTTTTGACTTGAATATCTGTTTTGTTTTGTATTAGTTAACAAAAAATTAAAAAAATATATATACTCTTGTATACTTCTGGAGAAAGTCTTATTTGTTTTATTTTGGCTAGAATAAAAGCAGTTTTTAAAACTATTTTGTGGTCAACATTATTAGCCCTTTTAAGCTATATTATCAATGGTCTACAGAACAAACATTCATTATACAATAACTTGCCTAATTATCCTAACCTGCCTAGTTAACCTAATTAACCTGATTAAACCTTTAAATGTCACTTTAAGCTATATAGAAGTGTCTTGCAAAATATCTAGTCAAATATTATTTAGTCATCATGGCAAGGATAAAATAAATCAATTATTAGAAATTAGTTATTAAAATTATTATGTTTAGAAATGTGTTGAAAAAATCTGCTTTCAGTTAAACAGAAATTGGGGGAAAAATGAGGCTTATAATTCAGGGGGGCTAATAAATCTGACTTCAACTGTATATAGCACCCTTTTCATAAGGTCCATAAAGTACCATACTTTGAATATCGGACCTTAATTTTTTGAAATTATAGTTTTAGAATTATTAGCTTTAACATTAGTAATGAGTAATTTTTATTAATATTAAAAATTTGTAATAATAATTTAGATACTATATAATAATAATAATAATAATAATAATAATAATAATAATAATAATAATAATAATAATAATAATAATCATTATTATTATTAATGGTAGTAGTAGTCAGTTCTTGCATCTCGCAGACTTCAGGGTTTACAATAAAACAAACAAACAAACAAACAAACAACAACAACAACAACAACAACAAAAAAACATAATCAATATACAGCACATACTAAACAGCATGTACTCTAGCTACCTTTTTATTGATGTAAACAAGTAATAATGCCAGTACTCATACAACAGTTATTATTTACAGTATATATTATTATATATACATTATATTATTTCATGCTACAAAAATGCCACTTTGTTAAACTGTACAGTTTCAGATCAGAGATCATCGTCCCATGATACAATTCATTAAGTAGGATTCGGGAAATAAACGAAGAGTATACTTTATAAGTGCTAATAACCAGTTATTATATTAATAACAGGCAGGTAATAAGCCAGTGGTAAATGGTGTGAGTTGTTACTTAAACTAAATTTGCATTCAGGTGGAACCAATCTGGGGTCTGGGTCTGGATTGTTCTTTGCTAGTTGAGTGACTGCAGTTTCAATAAAATGTGGTCTTCAAGCTTTCAATTTGTATCTCATTTGAATGTACCCATTGCAACTAGGTATAAAAGCATGTCATGAGAGGCATGATGAGATTTCTAAAGCATCCCCTACTTTTCAGATCATCCGTAAGCCCCTGCTGATAAGACTAATTGCAAAATAAGTCAGTTTACCTCGCCATAGATCACATTTGTTCAAGCAGGATGGATTACATAATACGATCTCATTAATTAACCCAAGTCTTTTTGCTTCTGAGACAAGGATAGAAGAGAAGAGCAGTGCATTCTGGGAAACTAAACAGATTGGTACCCCGGTCACGTTGGTGTCTTTCTCCACTTTACCTTATCAAACAAAACTGCTCTGGCCTTGCTGTCAGGGCAAAACAGTTCACAAAGTCCTACACGGGTTTTAAAGCGAACCCCGAGGCCCCCTTTAGTTGGTGAAGCTGCCAGACATCTCTCTCTGACTTCAATTTTAAGAAACTGATGAGATAGCAAGAACCCATGTTCCCTACACCAGTGTGATTAAAATGCAATTACAACATCGCGGTCCACATCTCAGGACCACTTTCATGATTACACTCGCTTTTGATTAGGTTGAGAAAGCAAGTTGACACAATGGCATCATAATTAAGAAGGCAATTGTCACATCTTGAAAAATGGTGCATCGTTGGACATAATTTCCCTGCCAATCTGAAGATTATGTTGCGCTTGTGACTCGGGCGAGATTGGGTTGTAATTACTTGATTGCATAAGTAAGTAACTAGAAATCGGCGTAATTGGACTGCGTTATGTAGCAGCCGGTTGGGTGAGAGCCAGCCTGGGATTTAATATGTGTACCCCTGCAGACAAGAGGTTTCACCCAACAAGATAACAAGCCCTGTGCTCTGGAGATGTTTGAGTAATGAGTGGACAAGGGTTACGTTTAATTAAACTACAAAATGCTGTAATAAAAAGTGCTTAAAGATCAGGTATGAGAGGCTTTTACTGTAGGAACAGCAGGGTTCAAAGCAGGAAAATTTTAGTTTTAAAATGTTTTGCTTGTGTAGAAAGAAACACGTGATTGCTAATGCAATAATTAAATAGAATGTTATGATATAATAAAAAAGTTTATAGCCATTTGTTGCACAATACACACAATTGTGCTTTACACTCCCTTAGGGCTTAAACATGTGCAAATAAAAAAACTTTTATTCCAGTATGATTAAATTCAGCAGCAACTCCACAAATGTCATGCTTTTTAAACTGTGGGTATACAATCCTAATATTATATCTATAAACCTAAACCAGGGGTCAGCAACCCGCGGCTCTAGAGCCGCATGCGGCTCTTTAGCGCTGCCCTTGTGGCTCCCTGAAGCTTTTTCAAAAATGTTCAAAAAGATGGGGAAGGTTAGTATATATTTTTGTTTTAATATGATTTCTATAGGAGGACAAACATTTTTAACGTTTTCAAATGCTGTAAAAGTGTGTAGAGTTAATATTTAATTTCAACCTTTCTGTCAACGAAGATTTGCGTCATAGCCTGCGACACAGGTTTCTATCAGCAGGGCGGGATTCCAGGCAGGTGGCTGTTGTAAACAAACCGGGAGATTATAAAGCATGGAAAACCGTTCACAGATGGTGACCAACCACTTGATTTCAGTGGCTATTTAATCATGAAGGCTCATTATGTATTTGTAGCCAACTTGGTCATTTTTATAGTAGGCTAATATAGCTACTATATATACACATACAGCATGTGTTTCCTTCATTATAAGGCTTATATAAGGATTTACATTTTTTGCGGCTCCAAACATATTTGTTTTTTGTTTTTTTTGGTCCAATATGGCTCTTTCAACATTTTGGGTTGCCGACCCCTGACCTAAACTATATAGTTCCAACTCTACATTACAGATCCTGTGAATGTGTGACTATTGCAGATGCTCACATTGCAATATTGAAGCTAAAACGATACACTGTATTTTGCAGTATTTACAACTCTTTGTTAA